ACGACGTAGTAAACGACGTCATTTAATATCCCTAATTCCGCTTTCATTTACGACGTCGTTTACTATGTCGTTTTCTACGTCGTTTACTACGTCGTTTACTACGTCACAAACTACTTAGAATACGACGTCGTAAACGAGGTCGGAATTTTCAACAGGGATTATATGATGCAAAAAATTTGCTTCCTCATGGAGGAAGCATTAACACTGAAATTAATATACATAAAAAAATTGTGTTTGTTTAAATTCAAGTTTAAACATAAAATTATTGCATTCCTTGCATTATAATAAATCGATTGGTATGTATGATATATATTTAAATTATTATTATTATTTAAATTGAAAGAGTTAATGAAAGTTTAAAAAAAGGAATACAATTATTTTATATTTGAACATGAATTTAAATAAACACAAAATTTCTTTGTTAAAATGTAAATTTTTTATTTTTTAACTTTCATTAATTGTTTTAATTTAACGCAAATGTATACTTTATACATACCAGTCGATTCGTTTCAATGCAAGGAATACAATTATTTTATGTTTAAACTTGAATTTAAATAAAAACACAATTTTTTAGCTAAGACGTAAATTTTTTATTTCTTAAATTTCATTAATTTTTTTAATTTTATTCAAATGTATACTTTCTATATACTAATTGATTTGTTTCAATGCAAGGAATAAAATTATTTCATATATAAACTTGAATTTAATCAAACACATCATTTTTTAGCTAAAATGAGAATTTTTGATTTTTTAACTTTCCTTAATTCTTTAAATTTCAATCAAATCTATACTTTATATATATCAATCGATTCATCTTGACATAAAGAAGACGATTATATTATATATTACCTTAAATTTTTCGATTTAAAAATTTTTTCAATTAAAAAAAAAATTTTGGAAAAAAGACGATAAAATTTTTTTTTTGGGGTATTTTTAAAAATCCTCTCGTCATTTTTGAGAGATTAATGTGTTAAATAAGCCTACCAAATTTTACCCAAATCCATTAAAACCTGTTAAAGATATCGTGTTCACAAAAACTATCCACACACACATACACACACACATACATACATCCGGACAATTGATCAGGATCTCATATAACATGTTTCTATATAGAGGAAAATTTGTTTTCACCATTTTTAAAAATTTTATAAACGAAAGGACTACATAGCTTCCTTCACGAGGAAGCAAAAAAACTAAAAATTTACGGAAATCCGTCCGTAACAATTCGAAATTCAAAAAATTTTCTTAATTTTTTTAAAAAACAATAATTTTTGTTCTTTAAATAATAATAATAATATAATATAATATATATTATATAATATAATAAATATAATAATAATATAATAAATATAATAATAATATAATATAATATAATAATATATTAATAATAATAATAGTTTGTAGAAAATTTCTGTTGAAGGATTAAAATTTTAACCCGAATTTTATTGCTTAAAAAATTTATAATTTTAATAACTCAACTTTAAAAAATATATATTGAGATTCGTTAATATTTCCAGATTATGAATATCTAAAATTTATCAAAAAATAATTACATTTAAAAAAGTTATAATTTATCTCGTATACCTTAAGTTTGACAAAAAAATGGACTTAATTTTTGAATTTAGCTGACAAAGAACATAAGTGCATTAATTACGACGAGAGCATCAATTACGGGTCGTTCATAAAAAATAACTATTATTACTATTATATTTAAGGGGGCACTCGCAGTTGTAGCGCCAAACAATAGACATTTGTCATGAATTTTTTTCTCGTAAACCATTAAGTGTTTTTAAAATATCGATTTATTAACTAAAAGTACATAATTTAAACTTGAATTTAAAAAAAGATAAAAATATTGAATATTTCCAAAATTATGTTTCGTCAAAGTGACGTCCATCTAAAAAACGTGGTTTGCGGTGACTAACACTATGGAAATCTGATTCGTCTTAAATCAAAAATTGAAACGGTTATACATTTACTGAAAGATTATCTAGTCTTTAATCGAAGGATTTAAAAAAAATATATTTGACAAAATGGCGACCTGTCAGAGTTGAACGTTCGTTTTTCATTTAAAAAAACGGTCGTTTTTCAGCTGTAAAAAGAAAAGTTTTGCATCCTTCGATTAAAGACTAGATTATTATATATTGAAAAAGTATGTTAAATTGCAGGACAATCGGTTCAGTAGTTTTTAAGTAAGAGTGGTCACCGACTTCGAAAATTTAGTTTTGAGAAAATCGTGTTTAAAGTTTTAACTTACATTTACGTAAAAATGAAATTTTTTTGGAAATCAGATAGAATCATCAATTCCGGGTCCATATAAAAGTTCTTTAGCAGATGAAGCTGCTTCGAAAATCCCAATTCAAATATAAAGGTATAAAGACCCACACGGCCGTTAGCCTGTTCTCGACCGACCTGACGCGGCTCCCTTTCTGCCAGTATATCTCATTTAATTTTCACCGCATCATTTTAAAATTTTGTAGACACATTTCTGACAACATATACTCTAAGAAAACGCAAGACAAAAAAAATCGATTTTTTGAAAGTTACAACTGCGAGTGCCCCCTTAATATAACTGTTGCAAAATGATTAAAAATAGTTATTTGTGTGGCAAGGGCGGAAAAGTAGGGGAATCGAGACTGGCGTGACACGAGTCGAGATTCCCCTATTTCCGCCCGCACAACACACAATATTTTCTGTAAACAGGAGCGTCAAAAACAAGATAAATACAGAATCAGTGTCAAAGAGAAAAAAAAGCCAAACTCAAAATATTAATTAAATTTACTTACATTTACAAGAAAGCCATGATTTTCGTAAAAAATTTTTTTTACGAGGGAAGGGGAAAATCTTCATAACCCTGGAGGCCTACTTCCAAGTCATTCCAGGTATCTGCAGATACCTGGAGCCCGTACTCTCAGTACCTTTGCTCTCAGTCCTAAATCCTTAACTGAGTGCCAGCGCAAGAAGAAGGAGAGCCAGTTAAGGTCTCCCCCGTCTTGCGCGTGCACCCAGCTGAGCAGCAGGATTTCTCCAAGTTATCCTCCTCATTCGTCCTCATTATTTTTGTAATGAAGGACTCGACGCTCCTCCAAGAGTCAGTGCTCTGCAACATAACAGAGACCATGTTTTTAGCTATGACTTCAATGCCCACAACCAAGAACATGGTTTGCCTAAGTTCACGCCAGTGCCCGCAGAAAAAGAGCGTGTGCTCTGCATCGTCAGTGTGTATTGCTTCGTCGACGCCTGAACCTTTGTAATACACACATCTCACGTCTGCTTCCATTTTAAAACGATAAACGTACTGTCCAAAACAACCATGACCTGACAACGCTTGTGTAAGGTAGTAGCCAACTTCACCATGTTTCCTATCTAACCATGTGGCGAGGAGGGGAATCAGGCGGTAGGTCCACCTACCTTTAGACTCCCCATCTCTCCTGCCATTACTGAACGAGTCTACTTCTGGACACTCTGCGTATCGCTATCCTCTGAAGTACCTGCCAGATCTTTGTTAAGATGGAAGATCTCCTTCCTTTCCATCGCCAATAAATCTATTGGCGGTAATCCAGCGAGTACCAGAACAGCGCAAGTAGACACCGTTCTGAAGGCTGACACAATTCTCTGTGCCGGGTCTCTCTGGACCGCGAGGAGCCTGTCAGAGATGCTGTGGAACTTTAGGGCCGAAGCCCAAACAGGGTCAGCATAAAGCTGCTTTGATTGAACCACAGTCGCCACTAGTCTATGTTTCTTTTCCTTGGGGCCACTGATATTGGGCATCATCCTCGAGAGGTTTCCCATGCATTCGGTGGCTTGGAGTGACGAGATGTTAATATGTTGGCCAAAACTCAAGCGTTTGTCCAACATCACTCCCAGGTGCTTCAGTTTTGTCCCCCTGAAACTACAGATCCTCCAATTTCTAACCGCGGGAATCGGAAGTCTCTCCGGTCTGTGACGAGCATAACCTCGGTTTTCTCGGCAGCAATTTTCAGGGCATGTCGGTCCAACTAAAACCCTATTCGTCGCAGACTATCATCGAGTTTTATCTGTAAAAGTTTTATCTCGTCCGCACAGCACACCAAAATTACGACATCCGCGAACCCGGTTAGAAACGTATCTTCCAGTAAGTCCAACCTCAGGAAACCGTCATACATGACGTTCCATATGGTTGCACCCACTTTCGATCCTTGGGGAGCTCCGCATGTACCAGCCCGTCAGTGATCACCCTACTTATAAAAGAAAATAATAAATTTCTCTTTTTAAAAACGTAAATAACAATATTATTTCAAATGTTTTGAAATTTCTTTTAAAGAACACGATAAATATAACTTATTTAATTTTAACTTTGGACGAGGAACTGAACAAATATAATTTTCTATATTATAATATCCGTGAGAATCCATGTTTATAACGTTTAATATTTGGTTTTTTACTATCTTAAACCACGAACACAAACTACCTAAGCCTCGTGCATTTTGTTTCGGTATAATTACAGAAGCAGATATCTTACTGTACTCGATTTTTTCTACTTATTCCAGTAAAGTAGCTAAAAGCTAAAATTCGGTCAATTACTAATGAATCATCTTCGATACCGCCACCTATGGCAAAGTTGTTATACTTCGGCATCAACTCCCGCGCTACATTGGAATTAGTGTTTAAAATTTTTACTTATTTTAACATTTTTTGGTTTGATTTTCTTTAAATTTTTTAAGGTATTACACCATAAAACCACAATATTACAAGTATTACATGGTATTACACAATAATACTTATTATTACAAGACATTACAAAATATTACAGGTATTACCGAGTATTACCTGGCAAGTGTACACTTGACTACCAGAGTAAATTCCCCTCGCATAGTGTGTAACATGACCTTTTCATTATAAAATTAATTAAAATTGTAATATTTCGCGGAAAATCACTGATACAAACTAATTTCCATGATTAGTTTTCTAAATTAATTTAATTAAATTTTAATAAATTTACTTATTTTGTTTTATAGGGCATTTCGGAGAGGCTTGAACTAGCATCTGTCGGAGGAAGGTTTGAACCACAGGTGAGTCGAAAAAGTTGAATTTAATTTAAAGAAAAAATACTGCTAAGTATAAAATTCGAGCTTCTACTCTACAATTTTTTCACTTTGTAAGTACTATTAGATTGAAATAATGAACTATCATTTTTAACATCAGGAATCCAAAAATAATATTTTTAAAAAATGTTATGCCGTATGTGAGTTTATATATGTCGTACGCCTTTACAACAATCTGCTGTATAGCAAAATGGTTGTGCTCTGATGGATACACACACGCTTTCTATATGTAACAGCAGAAGCAAAAGTTGTTGTGGATTAAAGACAACGAAGTGAAGTCATCCACACACATAGGGTGTACACCATTAAAGATTTTAGTACACGCTCGAGTTTGCCGCATGGAGACAATTAACCTAAAAATTAAATAATTCTCTTAACTTTTTCGTGCATAACAATGTTTTCGTCTGATAGTTTCGCAGATGAAGAGGAAGTTTTTAGTATTTCTGTGTTTCAATTACAGGTATTTTCAATGCATGCCCACGACCAGCAACACCCGCTTCTCTCGTGCTGGCAAATGTCGGGTAACCATCGATAAAAATCTTTCTGATTGTAAGATAGAGATAGAGAAAACTATAATGCTTTGCGAGTGTCCGATTGGCGATTCAAACAGCTACACTAGCGCCACAGTTGAACTAACGTAAGCGTGACTCGCTCTAAAGCAGTCTCTGTTTTGACAGTTTATTTCAAATTATTTAATTATTCTGATATTTTTATTGCGTTTGTAAAATAATTTTTAAGCGTTAAATAAAAAAAAATAATTTAAAACACATGGAGTGCTACACAGCGAGTCATGCTTAAGTTAGTTCAACTGTGGCGCTAGTGTAGCTGTTTGAATCGCCAATAGAGGAGTTGAAGCGAGGATCAAAAGGTTAACATATCCGTCAATAGTAACTCGATTGCAATGTTTTAAATAATTGAATTAAGGTCTCTTTTAAACCTGTTTTTCATGACTTATTTCATTCGACTTTATCAGCAAAGTGACATCTATTAGATGTCATTTAAACTCCTTGGTTCGGAGTTAGGTGTTTCATGTGATAATTATATCGATATTATTTGTCGACAAGTAATTATCAATTTTTGAATTAATTTTGATCTGAAAAAATAAGCTGATAAAGTCGAATTCTTCAATTTCGTATTTTTCAAAATTCTTAATCAGCGAAAAATATAGTATTTCTATATAAAATATATCTAACATTAACTATAGCTCTTGACTAGTTATGGGCTTGATCTGAGAATATAAGAGGCTTGGTCATTCAGGCTGTGTGGGCATGGTGCATTAGTCGGCAGAAGTCCCGCGTTAGGCAGCAACTAAGGAGGTTTGAGTCCTCACAGATGCACAGTGTACTCGAGCACGCAGCTTATTTTTTCAGATCAAAATTAATTCAAAAATTGATAATTATTTGTCGACAAATAATATCGATATAATTATCACATGAAACACCTAACTCCAAACCAAGAAGTTTAAATGACATCTAATAGATGTCACTTTACTGATAAAGTCGAATTCTTCAATTTCGTAATTTTTAGTAAATTTATTATTATAAGTATTAGTATTGAGATCCATTTTTTCATCCTCTCCTCTACTAGTTTCGTTTGTACATGCCTAAAATATTTAATCTTTATATACCTAACAGAGAAAAATCCCGAAACGCTGGGATTGAACGCACGTCCCTAACATTCGCAAGCCGACAACTTAACCAACTAACCACGCACGCACGCTAGGATGGCTTGCATGATATTTGAGGACATCCTTGTCACTATCCAGTTAATTTTACTATCAAATGTAAATTAAAAAAATTATTAATATTTTATCCAATGTAATTTGCTACTTTTAATAGATATTATCTTCTTTTAATTAATACTTCTCAAACTTTATTTAAATTTTTTTTTTTGCGCCATCGTTCTGAAAAATGTGTCAATACCGTGGTAACTATGCAGAATTCCATACTTAGGGAATTTAACAGGAACCCATAAGAAAATTTAGTAATAAGAAATAAATTATTATTTAAAATCGAAATCATTTAACTAATTTACAATAACATTTTTGCGAAATGTTAACTTTAAATACTTAATTAGTTTTAATTTTTTTAAACCAGGAAAAATGAAAAAGCCCTTGACCAGGACATATATGGAATACCCTAGTAGGGGTTTTGGTCGGGAATTCTGGTCAAAACACTAAAATAAAAAAATATCTAAAATTATTGTAAAACGATTTTATTTTATTGTTAATAACACTTTATGAACGAAAAATTTAATTTGTTCACATTGTACTCAAATAGGGAAAATTGATAAGGCTGTTACCAATGCCTTACTTTAAATAGGGCAAAGTCAGGCAATTTCTGCATGGGATTTGTTAACTTTTTAAGTTTACGAAAATATATTTGTATTTAAAAAAAGTTTCAATTTGTTGTCTATAGAGGCCTCTATAAAAGGGAAAAAGACGATTTTTATGGAGAAATTTTTTCAAAAAAACTATTGACAAAAATATACAAACAAACCAAAAAAAATCCGCTACATACTCCAAAGCATTAGAAAATGACGATCAAAAAAAACTTTGTCCGAAGTCAATCCGATCAAAACTGTTTAATCTAGACTGTTCACCGTTTTGAAAAATATCATTTCGAGAAAAACGCGTTTAAAGTTTTGACATATGAAAACTTATAAAAAAATGAACTCAACGTTAATCTATGATGCCAGCACCGTATAATTCGCCTTGTACATTAATATTGGCTTCAACTTCAGCCAATTGAGCGGCTATGAGCGTAAAAGAACGCACTTATTATTACGGTAAAAGAGAAAATAGCGATAGCGCTGTTAGACACCTACTGCATATTTCGGTTTTATTCACATAAAATAACTTCGAAATCGCTTTTGATGATATAATTTCTATTCTACATATCATAAAGTATAGTTTAAGCAAACAAAAAAATCGATTTTTTCGGGTCAAAGGTGACACTCTTCCTTAATAATAGTATATTATAATACTAGGCCAGAAAGATGGATTTCCTGGCGGGCGTAAATATACGGCCGAGGCTTTATATATTTCGCTCACCAGGGTATACATTTTTAGGTCCGTGTCTCCTATATAATTTTTCTTTATCTCCAACCGAAAGTCCATTACATTATTGATATTTATTAATAAAATTGCATTAGAACGTATAGCTTGCGCGTTCAACCATCTAATCCTTTTAACACCTGTGTCAACCTACTCGAAAATAAAATTCGATTGAATGAGAATTTTGGTAAATTAAAATTCGATTTAACCCATTAAGCCCCAAATGCACTGAAATTTTAGTCTAACTTCAAGGAATGATATATAAACAATTGTTCTGACAGCTATCAAGTATATAAATCGTACACTCGATTGTTAAACTTCAAAAAAAGAAATATTCCCCCTCTTCTCCAGACTTTTATTTCTCCAAAATGGTATCGAATAGTTCAAGAAATCAATTTGAATGTGCCAAATTTTTTAAGCTGTGTCCAAATTAGCTGAAAATGTTTACTCGGGGGTTTTCGGGGTCGCTGATTACGAATTTGATGTCAGAATTAAAAAAATTAAAATGGCGTATCCAATATGTCGACCAAACATTTTTAAAGTCGACGAATTTTAAAATTTTTTTTTGTTTTTTTGAAATATTTTTTTTTTCTCTGGCGAGAAAACCCAATGACGGGTGGTTCAGGCAAATGCGAGTACTCCTATCTTCGAAAGTCGCACTGTAGGCGCATTAGGTTAAAAATTTGCAAAAATTTGTAAAATGGTTATGCTTCATCCATAAAAAGTATTTCTCGGGGACTCTTGTCGAGTGCGTAATATGCCAATAGGGCAGGAGTATAAACGAAAAAAAAAAAAAAAATTTAATAAATTAAATTAAAAATAAATAATAAATTAAAATAAATAATAAATAAAAAGAATAAATAAATAATAAATTAAAATAAATAATAAATAAAAAGAATAAATAAATAATAAATTAAATTTAATTAAATTAAATTAATTTCTTTAAAATTTTAAAAAATTGTGAATTTTTTACATTTTTTTATTGTTCTAGTTGGAAGACATAGTTAGCGTTTGTAAATAATAATATTAATGATAATATCTACCGTTTACGCAAAGTTTCAACTAATTATCTTTCAAGCTGTGAGTGTGCAATAAAAAATTACCGCTGAAAGCACAAAATGAAAAAATCTCTGTAACTTTCAGTTATTCAAAAATGTGAGTGACACTTTTTGAATTGTTGCCATTTGGATTTAATTAAGTGCACATGTTTTTTCGGATTGTAATATATTTTTCATCATCAAAATTTTCATTTATCATGAGTTTTAGATGATTTCCTCTTACGCTGAAAAAAATATGCTCATGAAAGTCGAAAAAGTTACCACAATAACAAGTCGAACTTGACCTTTTAAGCTCTTAAATGATTTTTTATTTCACAAGAGCAGTATGAAAATTATGATTTTAGTAGCTTTTTCTGTTAAATATATTATGAAAAAGATATTGATGCCAAGAAAAAATTATATAATGTGATTAAAATAATTTAAACCAGAAGTAACATGAAATCGTACGGTTCCGTGGATTTGCCCATATATATATATATTATATTAATAATGTTATTAAAAAACGAAAAGCAATTCACAACATCTAAGTATTATCATAACTATTACTTTAAAAGTGACAAATGAGGTATATTTACTTTTATAAGCAAAAGTGAGAAAAATTGTATTTGTTTCATTTTCAAATTTGAAAAACTACTGGTTTTTTTTATTTTTTATTTTGAGTGCTTTTGTTTAATTTTTAAAAATGTAAATTTGCACAAAAAAATATAACATCACAAGTTTGTGTACTTATACATTATAGAGTACTTTTGTTGCTTTCAAAGCGGGTCCATTTTCTTACCTACTTGGAATCTCACACAAAAGCAATTTAATTTTGTACTATTACAACGTTCTGTTCTTTTACCACTAAGAAAAAATTGTATTCACCTCTATCCCCGAAATTCTCTCACATCCCTGCTTAACCATTCCTAATTAAGCTAATTAATAACTAATCTTAATTAATAAGTGTGATATATGGTAATAATATTATTATATTAGATTACAGTTTGTTAATATAATATGTTACAAATACACATATGTATATGTAATATATTACATATTGACTATAAGTTAACAATATAATATTATCCATATTAAACACACACACACACACACATATATATATATATATATATATATATATATATAACATTATAAATTACAAATAGATTATAAATAATTATAACAATAATATTCATAATTAACAATTAACAAATTATAATTGTTGCAATAAGAATCATAATTAATAATTAGATAATAATAATTTATTATGATATAATAATTATTTATAACAATTATAAGTTACATATGATATATAAGGTTTTAAACCACATCTAACTTCGAACATAACCTTTTATTTAAATAAATAATTGAAAATTCGACTTGGAAAAGTATCCGGCGAACAGGAGGTTAAAAGAAGTGGCGCGAGGAAAGCACAGGGCCTGTTGCGTTGAGAGTGGGAGGTGTAAGGTTGAATGGAAATGGGCCGTGCGGCGAAAGTAGGGAGAGCGAATAGGGAAAAGAGTGGAAAGCGTGGAGTGAAAAGGGGTGCGCCGATAGGATATTTGGAAAAGTGTAGAAAAACACGTTACCAATGACTGAGCTAAGGACAAGAATTCATGAAGATGTAGCAAAGTTTTTGCATTCTTCATGAATTCTCGTTACCCCATCAGTGACTTCATACATATTAATTCTAGATAAAAATTAGTCCATATAACCCAATTTTAAAACATCGAAAATCTTCATGAATGCAAAGCTTTCTCATCAGGAAGGAAACAACATTTTTCGTGATTTTTACTTGTTTTACAATTGTTTATTAGTTAAAAGTACTAAATAATTATTTATTACTTAACCAAACATCATTGATACCTGTAGAGTGCGAATAATAATATAAAAGAATTTATTTTACAATTTAAATAGAAAATTTAATTTATTTTATGTTAAGTTGATCACGATACAAAGTATGTGTCGCTGACAGTGAAGGGGTTAATGGCAATTTCCGATTAGACAGTTTTCTAGTATTATAACATAACATTAACTAGGTTATGAAATAACAAAAATGTATTATATCATGAATAATAAAATATTATTCTGTTAAGGTTGCTACTTTGTGTGAATCTGATGACGTCTATATGGCTCAACACATGGGAGAACAAGGAAGGTGGATTTCATCAAATGATCAAACAAGTTGTCTGAAGAGTAACTTAGAAATACTTAAATACTGCAAAAAGGTGAGTCTATTAAGGAAGAACTCTCCCTGCATAGTTAGTCAAAACAACAATCATTTAAGTTTTCATTTAAACAAATCAGTACTTACGCAACGCTTAACAACATTGTATTCGTTTCTTCCTCATTTTTCTTCGTGTCGTCTGGAAATGTTTTGATTATCATATTAGAATTGAATTTATGAGAAAAAAAATTCTGTAAAATCATCAATTAATTACTATTGGAAGGGTAAAAAATTTACCCAAAAAGTTTATAAGAACCCCTATAGGCTGCAGGAGGTAGGAAAAAACCTTCGTCTTATTTATGGAATTAGAAATAAAGAAAGAATCTAAAACTTAAAAATGAATACAGTTGACAGAGTGAAGGCAGACGAAAAATTATTCCTCTGAAAAGCTTATCGGAACAATTGTTTTGTGCTTAGTAACTGCTAATTCATAAAGAAGGTGATTTTTATACAAAATAATTAAATTTAATGTCTCATATGTAAGGTCCGACAATTTTTTGGAAATTATTTAAACATCGATTATTATTTCATACATGAGAGATTCTTTTTCAATCGCCCCAGCCCAAAAAGTCAATGTTCTGGGATTGGCTTCATACTTTGGTAAATTCTTGTCCTATATGATAGTAATAAATAACTAAAATATAAATTCATTAAAAAAATATTTGTAGAAAGTAGAGGGGGTTGAAGTTTTGACGTTAAGGGTAACATTGTCATTTTCAAATACGTATAACTATGAGAAAAGTTAATGGATTTTAATTTATCTATAATGAATTTTAATGCATTTTTCACGTACTTTTCAAAAATGTATACGAAATTAAAAAAAAAATGGGTGTACTTCCGAAAAGGTCCCCCCTTTAAATTTAATAAAACACGGGTATTCTTACGTATTTTGGTGCATAGATTACGAAAATCATAGTGAAAATTGGCGCAAATTTGATTATCATGGTAAAAACCATAAAAAAACCCATAAAATAATGGTTTTTTACTATTATCTCGTAAAAAACAAAAAATTTCGAAAAAAGTTTTAGACAAAAGTTGTAGATCTCAAAAAAACACACATTTTATGTTTTATGCATTTTTTACCAAAGGCCATTATTTTTCGAGAAAAATCCAAAAAACGAAAAACACCATGATAATGAAAACATATACAGCAGTCATGGTTAGACATATTATTTGACTCGTATATAGTATCATATTCACCATTAGTCAGGATCTAACGAATTCCGCAAAATACTTTCGGCCATATCCACCCCCTCTCGCCAAGGTTTTTTTTAAAAAGAAAAGCGAGCAGTACCATACCTGGCCGAAGGCCGTGTTTACTATTTTGCGTTTACCGCAGCTGTGAACTCCACCCCACAATTTCCGCAAATTACTTTCCGACACATCCACCCCCTCTCGCCAAGATTTCTTAAAAAGAGAAGAGAGCAGTACCTTACGCGGCCGAAGGCCGTGTTTACTATTTTGCATTTACCGCTGTTGTAGACTTCACCCCACAATTTCCGCAAATTACTTTCGGACCATTTTTCTCGAAAAATAATGAATTTTGGTAAAAAATGCATAAAACATAAAATGTGTGTTTTTTGAGATCTACAACTTTTGACTAAAACTTTTTTCGAAATTTTTTGTTTTTTACGAGATAATCGTAAAAAACCATTATTTTATGGGGTTTCTTATGGTTTTTACCATGATAATCAAATTTGCGCCAATTTTCACTACGATTTTCGTAATCTACGCACCAAAATACGTAAGAATACCTATGTTTTATTAAATTTAAAGGGGGGACCTTTTCGGAAGTATATCCAAAAAAATTTTCACCACCTTTTTTTCAAAATCAACCCTTATTTTCCGATTTTCACCCCTTCGGGTATTTTTTTTATTTTCATTGGAAAGCTGAGGTTTTTTCCCATGAGCTATGTAAATATGAAAGTGGGACAACAATCATTTTGTGAGAAAAATAATATTAAAGTAGGCGGTGCCTACCTAAATCCCCGAAGATGATCTCCAGGTATACCCGTTATCGGCACCGCCTACTTTAATATTATGTTTCTCACAAAATTATTATTGTCCCACTTTCATATTTTCATAGCTCATGGGAAAAAACCTCAGCTTTCCAATGAAAATAATAAAAAAAAATACCCGAAGGTGTGAAAATCGAAAAATAAGGGTTGAATTTGAAAAAAAAGTGGTGAAAAATTTTTTTTTTAAATTTCGTAAACATTTTTGAAAAGTACGTGAAAAATGCATTAAAATTCATTATAGATAAATTAAAATCCATTAACTTTTGTCATAGTTATACGGATTTGAAAATGATAATGTTACCCTTAACGTCAAAACTTCAACCCCCTCTACTTTCTACAAATATCTTTTTAATGAATTTATATTTTAGGGATTTATTACTATCATATGGGCATATCTTTGAAACCTTTAACTTTTCAATAAGAAAAATTTTTTTTTTTTTTTTGAGCACAGTATTGAAACTTTGTCTACATAAACTTAAAGAACTAAGCTTTCCAATTATACAAGGGGACAGATAAAACAAGTTGTCTTCAAAAAGTTATAAATATTTAAAATTGAGAATTATTTTTAACCTGTAACAAAAAAATATTCAACAGGTGTTTGCTTTTTAGGATAAAAAACAGTTGAAGGGAATTTTCTAAGGGGTTATAATTTTAAAAAGCAATAAAATTCGTTTAATATTTTCAATATTTATATGAATAATAAAATATTGAAATAATGCACTGGGTATAAAAGCATGTGTCAAAAATTAACTAGATATATAAATTTTTTATTTGAATATTTACATTACATTTTAAAATAGATTTTTATTATAGTGAATTGTTTTAAAAATGTAAAATTGTAATTTTTAAAATTTACTATACGATTTTCATAGACTTTTTTCTATTTAAATTTAATATTCGTAAACTTTCCAATTTCTTTTCTCTTTTTTCCTTTTCTATTTTTCTTTTCTCTCGCATCTTATCTTTTTTCAGAATGAATTTTTTTGGATCCATTTTTGTGTCTCGAAATAATCATTAAAACTTAACCTTCAGGTTTTAATAATTAATGACAGTTTCCATAAAAAAAATTATAATCGGCAACTTCGTACATAACAATTTCTTTCTAAAAAATTTCGGTCGATTACGGTCGACCATAATTGATGAATATTTTTTTACATTATCTTTGCAATAAAGTATTTTTTCTCGAAGCACATTCACGGGATGTTAAATGGCACATGTGAAAATATATACAAGTACTTTTCGAATACTTTTATATGATTTTCATGAAGTATCACTCGTATTACGGTTGTTTTCAAATTTTGTCCACGCGTGTTTTCGTTTATTTAACTTATAATAGTTTTTTGAAGACATGAAGCACATCAATTTATTATGTCTCAAAATAATTATAGTAACTTGATCTTTGATTTCCCATAAGTTATTTTAACGTGCCGCTTGTCTTATAAAAGAAAAATCATAAATACGATGATTACGGTCGAAAAGGTTAAAAGTGAGGGACAACTTTTAAAAGCTTATAAATTTTTTCACAATTAATAAAATATTAATTTCCCAGCGAAAATGTGTTCACCGATTAATTAACATTGAAAAACCATATTTCAGAATTAGTAATTTTTATTAAATCTAAAACTATATCGTTTAAAGCATCAGAAAATATGGTTAAGGACAAGTAGACATTGTTAAAAATCGCGTATTAAAATTGAAATAATTATTTATGTATTTAATAAATTAAAGTGGAATCTTTTGGAAATGATAGATTGTATCAAGCATTAATATTTCCAACAAAAACCAACGAAAAATTTATTAAAATTACCAAAATATATGCGAGGGACATTAAAGTTAAAAGTTCTAGAGATATGCCCATATAGGACAAGAATTTACCAAAGTATGAAGCCAATCCCCGAACATTGACTTTTTGGCTGGGGAGATTGAAAAAGAATCTCTCATATATGGTTTATTTAAAAAAAACATGTTTAGTTAAATGTGTGGGTTTATTAGAGCTAGATCTTTTTTTTGTTCTCTAATGTCGAACAAAGGGAAAAGTAACTATAATTGATTGACGTCAAGCTCTGGTTTCTTCAAAAAACTTGAATTTTTCTCTACTTAATTTTGCCGGAAGTGTGTAGCCACTTGGGCAAGTGAGTGGGTTTATACAACGATATTGTTTAAATTACGGAAATTAATTTTTAAATTAGACTTTGAACGCTGAGTGAAGGTCTTTTAAAAAATAACACAAGACCACAAAGGGAAATTGAGATGGACATGTTCTAAGCGTAGGTGACAGTTATGTTTTTGGGGTCGCTGATGACGATGCCGGTGTCCGTATGACGCCATCACGTCAGCATGAATGTCAACTTAAGGTCAAACACCGTAATTCAAAATATGTAATTGGAAAATTAGGCATGTCGTGTTCCTTTTCTTGCAAAAGATCTTTTGAAAGATTTTCTTTTGTGTACATTTGATGTATCTCTTTTGAATGACTTTTGTTTGACTTTTCTTTTGTTCTTCTCCTTGTGGACTTTACCAGTGACTCGTTGCCCGCCGTCACTACATGGAGATGCCTTGGGAGTAGGCCCAAATATGTCACTTCAAGATAAGTGATGCATGTAAACGAGATATCGTCTTAACAGGTCTCTAAGAAATTAGAATATCTTCCACTCAGCGACCACAAAATCATTAAGAGCAGCTGTTCTAAAACCAATTCCTAGCTAAAATTCTGGCCGAAAAATTAAAAAAAGGACCTCTAGATGACCTAGAATTGACCTTGAAATGTTGGTTCATAAAAAAAGTATAAACGTATTCGAAAGTAAAATTTTTCGTTGTTTTTAAAACTAGGGTCAAAAAAATTAAATATTTAAAATTAAGGTGTTTCGACCTTGAAGCTGACGTGATAGGGTAATACGAACACCGGCATCGTAATCAGCGACCCAAAAAACATAAAGATCAACTGTTCAAAAACTCATTTCCAGCTAACCCTCACAACAAAAGG